TACAATGCTTTCATAAACAAAATTTCAAATTGTTTTTATTAAGTCTTAAGGTTTGTTAAGCAATGTTTTTTCTCATGCCTTTTTTTTTTCACATGTTACTTATCCAACATGCAAAGTAATCTTAATTTTAAGATTAAAAATACTTTTATGCATCAGAAAGTTTTCAAATTTCACATGCGAAATGTTTATAATGTCCAGATAGTTATCAAACGTTTCTTAAGAAAAAAACTATATTTTATCTGTTATTTTCAGTAACAAATCTCTATGCGGGTTTGGTCTATTTGATTGATTTCATAACCACGTTAAAAAATTAGGAAGTAAATATAACTTGTGCCTTTTTTCATTCTAGAATGACTACAAATTATAGCATGAAAACATAAATGTTTAGACTGAATAGCTTAAATCTCATAACATTATACATTTATATATATTTATTATTTTTATTATATTGACCTTTCAACTGTGCCTGGCTAACAATACAGAAGATACAGTGATGCAGCACACATGCTTTCATGTTACTGTATCCAATAATATAAAACTGACTTTTAGTCTTTACAAAGTGACATGTCTTGGCTGTGTTTTAGTAGACTAGTATTTTGTAAAATACAGTCACATTTCAATTATTATACATTATATATGTATATAGATTATTGCTATTTAGAAATAAGTTCTTAAACTTATTTTTCTTAAAAAATAGAACAGTAAATAAAGAAGTAAAGCAAACAAATATCTTTTCTAGTTACGACCTTTGTACTCAGTTGTTGCTTGACGTAGATTGCTAAGCCTTTTAAAATTTTGCACGTGGAAGATATGAAACAAAATAATTTTTTGATAGGTTTAATATATACAGTTGAATTACCAAAAGTGATAAATTACTATATAAATACCCTAGAATTCCACTATAGTTTATCAAGCTTAATAACTATGCTGTATTTGGGTCTAAAAAATATGAAATTTTGAGCAGACTAAAGATACAACCTACCTCCTTGAAATCATGGTTTGAAAGAACGAGTTGGTGTCCTAACACATGGAAATGGCTGTGAAAGCAACTAGGGTGACATTCTGAGCTTTTGATTGGTGGGCCACCATGTTTGATTCAGTACATGAGCCATATCTCAGCAAATAGAAAATATAGGGGTTATTATTTTATATTCTAGCTCGTCAGTATAGGTAATATGAGTTTCTATTTCATACAAAACTAGAGTTGGTATTTTCACATCACAAATATCTAATTTGAAACAATGCTGCATTCAACATACCACGTGACACACAAAAATTGATGTTTTTAATATTTACTTTTAAATTAAGAAATTAAATAATGGATTTTGAAATTTGAATTATAATCTACAATTTGATACCAAACTTACTTACATAGATTCATGAAATTGTAGTTCAATAAAATTTCGAATGCGATTCAACAAACACGATGATGTGGCTTTTGACCCGTGATCTGTCTGGAAAGGGTTAAAGAATACAATTATTAATTTCTGTCAAAAATGGGTGGGGGTCTGAGCTTGCTTTTATAATATTAAAGTACTTTGTTGCACAATTATTAATTAGGAACATAACACAGTGTAAAAAAAAAGTTAATTTACACTATCTTTAATATGCTAGTAGCTAGAGAGTTGGTGCTTCCAGCTAATTGCCCTTCCTCTAGTACACAGTTCAAAATTAGTGACAGTTGCAGATAGCCCTAGTAGCTTTGCAATAATGAAGAATGGATAGGTAAATTTAGTGGCAAGGGGAATCAAACAGACATAATGGCAGTATTTCAATTACTTGGATATTCAGAATAATTGTAAACCCTAATTTGATTAGTTGAATACTTTTGTGAAAGTGATTAATTCATTGTTGTTGGAATAATTGAAAACGGTAATAACCAGAAACACTAATTTCAATTAATTGATTATTTTTGTGACATTAATTGATTAATAAGTTAATTTATGGGACATTAATTGATATAATCACTGCTCATATTCTAAATATGATTAAATCAATTAATGTTGTATAAATATGTAACTAGCTCAATTTACTATTCCCATTGATTACTGTTTTTGATTATTCAAACTATCCAGTAATGGTTGGAGATGGCTTGAATGGGTAATGAAGAAAAACTTTAACACAGGTTTAACATAACAGCAAATGTACAACGTTTCGACAAGGTTTTGTCATCATCAGGTACCTGATTACGATTTTTGATTATTCTGACTAAAAAAGTCAGAATGGTCCAACTGTGGGCCTGCAGGCCTCATTTTGCCCATGAGATGATTTTTGTGGCCTGCAGGCCCCTTAATAACAATTGCAGAAAAAACAATTAATACTTTAAATAGCATTTCTTAATCATATGAATGTCTTTATAATAAGTCTTGTATAACTATTCTAAATTCTTGGAATAATTTATTGCTAGACTGTGCAAAACCTATTCTCCCTATGAGTTGCGAGGTTAGCCTAGTGCCGTAGTCTTTGCGTTTCACAGAGAAGTAATAATGTTTATTTTATATATTACTCATAGCATGTGAAACAAGTTGTGATTGGTTAAATTTGATTTTAGAACTCAAGCTGTGATTGTCTTGTGGTGGTGAATGTGATTCTGCCAAAAGTATTTCCACTTTTTGTCAGATAGATTAGTCTGTCTGTATCATGCAAGGGGTAGTGTGTTGTGTAAATCTGGTGTCATAGCACTTATTTTTATAGCTCTCAGTGGCAAAAACTATACTTAGTAACTTGTAAATTGGACCTCAAAATGAATGTCCACTAAAACAAAAGAAAGGATTTTGAGGAACAAAGGGCATTTAATTTGAATTGGAAGGGAAAATTTTTCTTTATTGGAAACAATGGAAAACTGCATTGTCTTGTATATTTTCAAACTATTGTTATACCAAAGGAGTACAAAATGAGACAACAATATGACACACAATTTAAAATAAAGTATGACCACTATGTAGGAGAATTGAAAGGTAGCATGAAAAACAAAAATGTGCTTTAACTAAGTATGCAGAACCTCAAACTGTAAGTCTTACTGAATCATACAAGGTCTCTGATGCTTGTGAAAAATAAAAATAATTTAGAGATGGGGTAGTTGTAAAATAGTGTGAAGTGAGAATGGCACATGCGTTTGGGGATGATAAAATGGCTAGAAATTTTGAAAGTGTGTCAAGAAGAATAAGTGAAATATATGAACATATTTTTTCCAAACTAAAATTTATCATTCAGGAATGTGAATACTATTCAGTAGCTTTGGATGAAGGCACATCAGTGACATCTCTTACACTATTGATAAAGATTTCTCAATACATGAAGAACACCTGAAGATGTAACCTTTGAATAACAGTACAAAAGGTTCAGACATTTATGCAGCACTTATCTCTGTTATTACTATAATATTATAGGTTTCATAAGAGCTCCTGCATTGTAACTGACCGTGCTAAAGGAATGATTGGCAATAAAATGGGGTTACTTGGTTTGGAGTGGTTACTATCACTATTCACTGCATTATACATCAGGAAGCACTATGTGGAAAGATTTTGAAGATGAGTGATGCAATGGGTAGGGTTGTCAACATAATAAACACTATAAGAGGTGGTAACAAATCCTAAAGATATGGGAAATTCATATATTTTTAAAAAAAAAGTGAATATAGAATTTAGTGATTTACTATTTCTCTCAAATACCTGATAATTAAGTGAAAAGAAATCCTGTCCTTCCTCCAGAATGAGCAAATTGGCAATACAAACAACTATTTTAATCAACTGCAAGACAAAGAATTCCTTCACTCCTTGGCATTCCTGACAGACATGATTGATCACTTGAATGTTCTAAACCTCAGATTCCAAGTAGTTAATAGCATGTCTCCCAGCTGATGGGACACATTGAAGCTTTGAAAGAAACATTTAACAACCCAGTGGAAATTACTGTTGAAGATCTGGAATTATGTGAGCTGCAATCTGCCCCTTTAAAAAAACAAAAAAAGAAACATGATAGTTTCTGAATGTTTGATTCTAGAGAGCATTTCCAAAAACTACAAAACTTTGCACTCAAAATGGGTTTGATATTTGGAAGCACATATATATATATATCTGTGAAAGAACTTTTTTTGTGATGAAGCAAGTGAAATCAAAGACATGGAATGTGATGGTTAATGACATACTCGACACATGCTTTCGACTCTCGACTTCAGCGTTGAAATTGATTTCGAATCAGTATTTAAACAAAAGCCTTGCCTCCATTGTTCTCATTAACAGTTAAGGATAAATAATATTTATATGTGTATATGAAAATGAAAATTAGTACCTCATTCTTTCTGGTTAATGGTCACATACATGGTCTCACTAACAGGAAAGACTAAAATCAGAATAAGACTTATTTAAATGTAAAATGAATAGGCAATGTAAACATTAAAGGACAACATTGTATCAAAGTTTTGTAATTATATAATCTTATTAAAAAATAGTATGTGTTGCCCATGAAAGAGTATTTTTCTGACTTGTAATCTTTAGAAGCTGGACTACCCTGATATAAGTAATTAAAATTTTGCTATTATTTGTTTGTTGTTAAATGCAAAGTTACATAATGGGCTGACTTTCTATGCTCTTCCTGCAATGGGCGTTGAAACCAAGTTTGTTTTTTAGCATTATAAGTTTTTCTTCCTTGGGAGAATAATCAGTTAGTTTAGAGAACTCAATTATTAATTGATTATTAAATTCCATTGATCATCTTGCTTTTGTCAGCATTTCAGTCAAATGACCTTCACTAAGAGCTGGTATATGTTATTTCTCTGTAAATTTGACTTGTCTACACAATTCTTATTTCTTACAATGGTTTTTAGACAATTCTTTTATATTTTGAAATCTTATCATACTGTAACAGTGTTTGTTTTCTGTGTTATATTGTTGAAGAAATCAATGTAAGTATTGATTGCATTTTGGATTTTTGAATAGTTATCGGTATAATGCTGAGTTATGGCTACCCATTCACTTTGTAAAAAAATTTTTTTTTAACAGAGGAACTGGCTACATATCTCAGATATGTTAGGCGACTAGATTTCTTTGAAACTCCTGATTATGACTACCTTAGAAAATTATTTCAAGACCTCTTTGAACGTAAAGGTTATATGGATGATGGAGAATTTGACTGGACAGGGAGACAGCTGGTATGTCAAACTACAAATATCATTTAAGACAGTAACCTGAGATGAAACAATATCAAACAATTTATGGTAAAAGCAAAAGAAACTAGTAAGTGTCAACAATTTCACAAAGAAAACAACTGAGTATTAAAAGTAAAAAGAAAAAACCTGCTAGCTTTTTAGAAAAAGTTGAGAGGGAAAAATTACTTAGAAAATATTATAATAAATTTAACATAGAAGGACCTCTCTTGGGTTATAAACACAATTCATTCATATATTTCAATATGAATTCCACAAATTAACAGAATGTTTTTTAAATATATATTTTTTATATTACTGGGATATTAGTGAAAGCAATTCAGTATTACCTTAAAATATCTAATGCTTATAGCAAAAGCAAATGTTTATATAATTATTTCAATGAGCAAACAATACTTTCTGCTATTAATTATTGATTAAGTAAAAAGTGTGGCAATAAAGTAATACATTTCAATATTTTAATGATAGTTACATAACCATGATGCTTAGCTTAAGGAGCATAGGAAGTTGTTTATAAAAATAAGCCATTATTAACAAATATCATTCTGTTCATAGCCCTAAGAAAACCTGTAAAATTTGATATAATAATGTACACAACTTGAATAAATTGAAAATTGTACCTGCCACAATGTTACGTTTTCATTAAAAATGTTATCATAATATAAAAATGCATAAACATTGATTATATAATTACAAAGCTCTTGTAGAGTTCTCTCAACCTTAAGGTTATGGGGTTGAACCCATTTGGCTACTTCTTAAAAATACACAGAATAACTCTGAGCTTTCTTAACATATCTTCACAATAATGGGTAAGATTTTCTTAAAGATTCTGTACAAAAAGAAAGATTATTTTAATTAAGTATTTTAACTAAAGATTTGTTAATTTTGTATTGTATTTATTTGCACTCAGACTCTGAATATTTTGAGTATCAAACTAACATATTTATAGGTGAGAAACAACACTAAAGTGCTAGCGAAGGCAAAAGTAGCAGCAATGCTAAAAGCAGTTTGACAAGTTCTCCATGGAATTCTTCACGCCAATTTCAAAATAACTATTGGGAGATTGTATTTTAAAATGTGGTCATTCTGTTGGTTATAAGCATCTAATTCAATTAAGTATAATTGGCTGAGAAATTGCAAGTGTAGAAAGTGGTCATGATATCTGTCAAGAGTTCCAATAAATTTATTTTATTTTCTCCAAATGTGCCCTAAGAAGAATGTATAAACAGAGCAATTAACCTAAATTTTATCGATACATGGAAGGTTAGCATATGTCAAGAAGTATTCAAGTTACAAAGTCCAGAAATTAAGTTGTGTGAACATTTGTGTCAAATTTAATAATTTTTCATTAAGGTTTCTTTTGAAATAAAGGAATTAAAAGTTAGCTAGTATAAAACTTTGAACTATAAATGTAAATTTTAATGCTAATTTCATTGTCATACCTTGGTCGTAAGATTGCTTGACTGAAGTTTGAATGTAACAAAGTAAAATCTTGTGACATGAGCAGAACAGGATGCCCATAACCATAGGGTTAATGTATTACGTGATTTCTGTAACAGATACTTTTATCTCCAGTTTTTTTAATAAATTTGTATGATCAAAATTCAAAATTTCTAATGTTTTTTAAATACATACTACATATATAACTTGCCAGATGTTTTTGATGATGAAATTAAAAGCCTTGTATATAGTATAAGTTCCATAAATTTTAGCGTTATAAATCAATATTAGTAAATATTAATGAAATTAGAAAACTGTAGAAAATCTCTATATGAGTTGTGATTCTTATATATTGTTTTAGTTCAAAACTGTTTTTATACTTTAAGTTATTTTGTCATACTGGTATCTCTGAAAGTAAATTCATTTGAAAGGTTGACACATGAAGTTGCTGATTAAAGTAGTATCTACATGTACACTATATTTTTATTTAGCTTTGTGTTCATTAAGAATGTTTTATTAACCTTAACTATTACTTTAGGACTGAAGTATGCTTTCAAAATTGTGAAGAAAGAAAAAATATACTAAAGAAATTGAATATAAAAAATATTTCTAATTTATTATTTAACTTGATAAAAAAGTTTCAACTTGACTCCACACCATGAACTCGTAGTGATGAATATTTTGAAGTGGTTGTGTACAGTATATCCAACATTTATAAGACCCTGTGAATATGTTAAATGTGTGAGATGTTCTGTTTTTAAGTGGTACTTTTTCTAAAATCAAAAAGTATTATCTCAGCATATTTTCCAGCAGTAATGTTTATTTTGTTCCTGTCTTGTGTATAAGCCATTAAACTTTCTTCTGCTGCATAAGTTAAGAAATCCATTACAAGTTGATTTTTTAGACTAGTCAAACTGTATAAAAGTTTGTATGTGTATTAGATATATATAAAACATTTAGAATGTTAGCCAGAACATCCATTACAACAAATCTGTCTTCTTATTGACTAATACATCATTGTACATCTAGATGCAGAGGTTATTATAGTAGCTAATATTATAATTTTTTGTATTTTTTTGGTGAATAATGTAGAGGTAACTTTTTATATATATTTAAAAAAGTAGCATAGCCACTATAATAGGAGATGCAAGGCACATAATAAAGTATAATGTTCATTTGCAAGCTTAAGTTTGGTTATTCAAAACACAAAACTTGAAGGTTCAAATTTCTACCTTTTATTATAAACTTTTACCATAGTTAAATATATACTTTTTTACGGGCATAGGTTTGTCCTGTGGTAGAGTTCTGGATTTTGGAACTAGCAAGCTGGGTTGGAATTTAGGAAATATCACAAAATATTTCCTGCATTAAAATGTGAGTCCATTATAAGATTGATAGCCAGTCCTTTAGCATGGGTGGTAGGGTGCTGTCTTCCTTCTTGTTAATAGTTCCAAATTAGGGACAGCAGCAGATAGCCTTAGTAGCTTTGCTGTATATTCAAATACCTCTTTATTCATTCTTCAGTACAATATACAAGTATATTTCCTTATCATATTCATCATCAGTAGGACAAGATTTATTGGCCTTTGTTTTGTTTTTTCAAATTAACACATATTTTTGAGGCCTGTACATAATGCATGTTGCACCTGTAACATTAATAAACATTTGTGGAATGTATGATTACAGCAAATACTTTGCAGAATTTATTGTAAGTTTGCTCCATTAATCTGGTGACCTTCCCAATCTCTCAGTATTTTTCATTGTAAATATACCATAATTAGAAATTTAAAAAAAACGTTTATTTGAATAGTGTCCTAAAAATTTAAATATCTCTTTTTTTAGAATGTATGTTTTATTCTCAATTTATTATAGGCCGTGTCCAGACCAGTATAGCAAATTTTTCCTTTTCAATCCTGAGCAGGAAAGCAAGACATAATTGTGATCCTTTTCATTAATGTCTCGTCAAGCATCCTTTAGTTGTATTTTGTAATGTTGCTGGATGTTCACTTACAAGACAGTAAAAGAATTAGCAACAATAAACTATAATGTACAAATTTTTTTAATAATCAAAGGGTCTTACTTTATGGGAAATTGAATTTAAAACCATATGAACTAAATGGTATAATATTCGAGTGAGGTTGAACTCTGCCTTTGATAATTATTAGAACAAACATTGGATAAACAAATTGTAATAAAAACTCCTTAATTGGAACATTTCTGTGTAAATAAAAAACTACTAGTATTCTATTCAAAATTGGATAAAATTTCTATTTCAAAGTCTTTGTTATGTAAGTAATGACAATCAATTAAGAAGTACAATGAAAAAATCCTGTGCTCATTTCATTTTCAGTTTTCATGAATTACTAAAGCAAAATATAATGTTGTAAGCTAATGATATCAGATAAAAAATTAAAGAAGTATCTGGTGTTTGTTTTACTGTGACTGTTTGAATACTTTTGAAAAACTGAAATATTAAAATTGTTTGCTGAGTAATTGTCACTACGATTGGTTCATGACACTATTCCAAATCAAATGGCTTCATATATATCTCAATTTGTTTTGTGTGTACCATATTTTGGGGAATATATGACACACCCTTATTTTGAAGACAAAGTTTTGGGGGGAAAAAGCTACAGTCACATTTGAAAGATTTGTATTGAACAAAAATTCAATTTGATACTTTAAAAATTAGTATATATTGTTCTAAACACAAAAGAGCTCAAAAAATCAAAGTAAGAAAATACGGTAAATCAAAAAAAGGTTTACTGTTATATAGTTTGGTTCAAAACCTACAAAATCTTCATATTTTTCACTGTCGCTTGGAAAGGAATCATTAGATCCAATATTATGGTCAAGGAGAATGTCATCCTTGGTCCCATCCATTGTGTTACTGATACCACATTTCTTAAATGACTTAATCACTATATCACTTCTTACTTTTTCCCACGAATTCTTCACCCACATGCAGACCTAGGCCTTTGCATTTCATGAACCGATAACACCACGATGTATGACCAGTAAAATCTTCTAAACTATTATCACATGCAATCCTCTTTGCTTTAAAAATGATCATATTTGTAGAAACGGATAGTCCTTGCCTTCTCTGATCCACAACCCATTCGTACAGTTTATTTTCGAGATCTTGCCATTTTGTTTTTTTCCTCAGAAATTGCATTTATCACTTTTAATCATTTTCAATTCTTCTTCTTGTTTGTGCCAGCAATGAATCATTTTTTCTGTTGGTGGAGGACCAAAATATCTTTCGGCAGCTCTGTTTCCATGCTTTTTTGCATAATTAATCACACTTAATTTAAATTTAGCTGTGTATGACAGTCTCTTTTCTTTAGACATCGTAAGGGGTAAAAAAATAGAACGAAAAATGAAGAAACAACTATTTTGCTCTCAAGACCTAAGATTCGGTACTTCAGCTTTGGTGACGCATCCAACTTGACAGTAAGCACATGCCAGACTGCCAAGTATCAAATGAAAATTGAAATACCGATTAGGCGATTACCGACACTAATTGCATTAAGCACTCTGATTGGTCAAGTGCATTGCACATTTGAATCCAAGGCAAGCACTCAAAAACGATTTTTTATTTGTTAAAGTTAGGCCTGTAATGGCCTTATTCTGCTCCACATTAAACAGGGATTGTCGTGTATTTACAAGCTTTTTCACTCT